TTTAAAAGTTATGATTTGATATGAGAGCAACCTGATTCAGGATTAGACTTTTTTAAAAGCCCAAATTTATATGGGGAGAAATTTAAAGCAACCATTTGCTACTGATGCTTTTTTCTGGGAGAAAGGGGAAGAACTCAGCTAATTTTTCTATTAGCTCCCCATAAAGGTGAAATTTTTATTTTTCCCCTACATACAACACCTCAAAATAGCCAATCCATCCATGCCTTTTTTCAGGAGAAAGAGCAGAAAAGAGGAAAGGACAGCATAGCAGGCCCCCATTCCGTGAACCTACATGGAATTTGGTTGAGCCAAAACAAAATTACTGAAACAAAGCAAGGCAAAGCCACTTTTCTAGACTATCATACTACTGGCTTGGCATGAATGATAAATGCTAGAGTATTTCTCAACCTCAGCAACTTGAAGGTGTGTGAAGGACTTCAGCTCCCAGAATTCTCCAGCCAGCCTGCTGGGTTTCTGGGAGTTGACATCTACGTATCAATTGACGTTGAAAACACTGCTAAACTATGCCTTGTACATGGGTGATTTTGCTTTCCATCTGGGAAAATGTCCATCCTCCTCACCCCCAACAATTGATAGGATTCTCTTCTGTCTTCATTAGCAAACATGGGATAATGTTCAAAATGGAGGGAGCCACCACGGACAAGGCCTTTCTAGGCAAGGATGAGAATAGCTCCCCAGCTGCAGAGCCTTTGTTCACCAGCACTGATCTTCCCCAACTACAGATAGTCCTCCTTTAGCATCCATAATGGGGATCAAATATTTTGGTCATTAAGCAAAGCAGATGCTAAGTGAAACCACGGCTGCCTATGATCTTACTTTGCTTTAAAGACCTGTGAAGGTCGTAAATACAAGGCTTGGTCAAAAAGTTGTTTTTTATCACCATTGTAACTGCAAATAGCCACTGTACGAAACAGTTGCTAAATGAGGACTACTTGTAAGTATGGCCTTACAGATTTGGGCTTCTTCATCTCATGCCAACATGAGAGTCTAGGATTTGTAGTTCAGATCCTTTAAAGCAGAGGTGTCCAACCTTTCACCTTCCCTAGGCCACATTAGAAGATGAAAATTTGGTTTGGGCCGCACATAAAATAAAATAACAGTAATGATACCTGATCATCCCAAAAAACCATAGAAAACATAGTTAACACATTAAATTTATTTGGAAATGGTTAGTGAGATGTTTTTATTATTTATTATTAATTATTTATTAAAAAATTTTTAGTTTTTATCATGGTTTTTTTATCACAGTTTTTTTATCACAGTTTATTTTTCCGGCCAAATTTTGCGGTGGGCGGGGAGAAAGCTCACCCGCCTCACGCCTACCTCTCCTCCTGCAAATGGCCCGGCTGGATGAGGCAGGACTGGAAGGCAGCAGCGGCGGGGGCAGAAGCCTTCCCCCGCCACCGCTACTGCTTCTGCCCCTGCTGCCGCTGCCCCCGCCACCGCTGCCACTTCTGCCACCGCCGCTTCTGCCCTCACCGCCGCCACCCCCGCCGCCGCTTCTGCCCCCGCCACTGCCGCCGCTTCTGCCCCTGCCGCGGGGGCAGTGGCAGCGGGGGCAGAAGCGGCGGTGGGGGTGGCGGCGGTGAGGGCAGAAGCGGCGGTGGCAGAAGCAGCAGCGGTTGTGAGGGCAGAAGCAGCGGCAGAAGCAGCAGCGGTGGCGGCGGCAGAAGCGGCGGTGGCGGCAGCGGGGGAAGAAGCGGCGGGGGCAGCAGGGACAGAAGCAGCGGCGGCAAAAGCAGGAGGTGGTGCTCTGACAGCGCCCACCTTTTCTCTTGCTGCTTGGCCTGGCGCTCACCTCACCCCGCCTCACGCCTGCCTCTCCTCCTCCTCCTCCTCGCTGACTCTGGCATGAAGGTTGGGGTGGGCACTGGGCTGCATTACGAGGCGACCTGGGCCGCATGTGGCCCGTGGGCTGCGGGTTGGACAAGCCTGCTTTAAAGTATCAATCCAAGGAAGTTCGGTGCAAGTAACCCTTGAGCTTTAGATTGATGTTGTAATTTTATAGAAGGCAACCTCCAATATTTTTTTAGGAAAAAGGCAGTTGGTTCCAGTTAGGACCCAAATGATTAATTTGTTTCTTAACAGTATATCTGGCCAAAGTTAGTGTTTTAGACTTGCCATGATCAAGTTTTAAACAGCTGTTACAATTTTTTTTTTTAAAGAAACCCTGTCACTCAAATAGAGTTGTCCCAAGCTCAGGACAAAATGGTACTTCATTTCAACAAAGGGAATAATAGAAATTCAAGACATTTTTTCCCCACTCAGAAATACAAAAGTAGCTAAAATAGTGATCTCTGCTATTTTGTTTATTTATTTTGTTTAATAAAATGTCCTTTGCGAAAAATGGGAAAGTGTGTTTTAAATCTTTCTGCCTATTTGCTATCGATATTTTTATTGGGGAAAAATTATTCTTTTAGGGTTTTTTTCAGTAGGTTATGTTGAAAGTAGCACTCCATTGGACCACTAGCCTCACAACTCTACTGATTTTTTTTTTAAAGTTAAACTAAACAAATTATCTGGATCATACACTGCTGTTTTTTTGTAGATTAATAGTGAAGGTGTTTCATTGCAATAATAATTCCGTGAACAGGTTTGAAAAACTGTGTCTCTTTTTTTATGCAAACAATTCAAAGTTTTGCTTTTTTTAACTGCTCTGTCCAATAACAATGTTCCAAAAGGGCACAGTTTCTACCTGAAGAACTGAGAAGCAAAGTAGGAGTAATCTCTAATAGTTAACTCTAAAATGGTTGTTATTAGAGTAATTACTAATAGTGATTTGATGTTTATCCTGACCATGGGTGCCCAGTAGGGTTATGCTATCAAATGAGGGCATTCAGGTTGTTGCTTTCATTAACCGCTTTGGTATAAGTCCTGATGCTGCTGGATTTTTATGCTGATGGAGCAGTTTGGTTTTACCTTGAATTAAAAGGGAGGGGTCAGGCTAGAAGCTGTAATCTTGAAATAGTTCTGCATTAACATAATAATTGAGCCTTGTTTGCGGTTCATAGAACCAAAAGGTTGGTTGTAAAAAAATGACTACCCAGCTCAATAAACCATTCTTGAGCCCTGAATCACCAGCTGCTCACCTGCATGATCAGATTCCGTAAGGAAAAAAAATTGATTGATTTAGCATTGAACCTCTAATGCATTTTCGGGTGAACCTGGTTTGCTTGCAGAATTCGCAGCTGATATCACCACGTGATTATTTAGATTCTTAATTTTTTTAACCTCTCTTTTTGGATAATTAAAGGTGGCTACTGCTTGTATACATTTACACTGGAGGGTGGATTCTTGATCTGGGCTGGGACTTCCAATTTATTTATTTATTTATTTCAACTAGCTATTGGTGCCTCAATGGATCTTCACTGGCAGAATGCAATTATTCAACTTCAGCAGGTGTGCTGCTAATTAAGTTGCTGGATGCATACTGCACCAATCCTGCTTAGGGAATCTTTCCAGAGGAGAGGTCCAACCTGCTCATTCACATACCTATGTATTTAGAAGAGGGGTACACGGGCCTGCCAGGAACTGTTGCATTCCAAGACCCATCATCCTGAAACCACATGTCCAGTGATCAAAGACGAAGAGTGTTGTTATTCCTTACCTCTTTTGTAGGAGTTGGCTGTGAATTACTTTATTGAGTAGGTAGCAGACTTGAAGAAATCTTTCAAAGCTTCATTTGGCAATACAATTGCTAACTTGAAAAAAATAATAATCTGTTTTGCAAAGGTGGTAGTATAACCTTCAGGGCTATATGCATTTTTTTTACCCCATATATAGAACAGTCCATACATGGAGCAGTTATCATAACTAATTATTCCCATTCTCACTGTGGCTTTTGCTACCTTCTGCAAAAATATTAAGGCGGGTCCCAGCCACCCAAATTTTATCCTTCCTGTCATGGTTTTAGCCTTATGTTGAATAATTCCACAAAGAATTCTAGTTAGCAATATAAGTACATGCACTGGATACATGCCAAGCTAAGCCACTGGGTTGCTCTGTGCTACTTTGCTGAATGCTTTGTAGTGTTCACATTTTTTACATTTTGAAAACTATACTTATATAGCATACTTAAACAAGCATAGCTTAGCATCCTGAATCTGTTACGTTATCAGAGCTGTTGGGACCTGTACTTGATATTGATTTTGTGATTTCTGCCCAATTTTTCCAGGAATGCAGACTGCCTTAAATTTATGATCTTTTGTTAGAACTACTATAAAATTGGGCACATTGCATAGTAAATAACATGATTCATGCATTTATGGATTCTGATCTAGTTGGAGATCAACAAACTCCAATTTTAATTACTTATTTTATAAGCTACTCTGGCCCAGTGACCTTAAGTTTCTGATGAAAGTTTCCCTGGCAGGCTGTTTCCTATAAGTGAAGCGTGGTGTTTTAAAGTTTAATAGAGCAATTGGAATGGGCTGGGACTACCCAAATTGGTGGGAGGTTCCCTTGTGGAGTATCAGGGTGATTATTCACAGACATCCAGAGAAGTGTTAAGAACTGAAGGAAGATGGAATAGAAGCAAGCAGAGGGGGGAAGAACCTGGTGAGAAGGAGACCGAAAAAAGGAGAAAAGCTGGAATAGAAGCAGCAAGGCTTCAAGAAAACTAGGATAGTGGGAGAGCAGGTAGAAATTAGGAGAATGGGAATCATTATGAAGTGGAGCTAAAAAGAGACTGAAGGTAAAGAAGAAACCAATATACTTTGGAGCTTTCAAATTTGCCGTGAATGGAGGTGGCCTTCATGATTGCATAGAACTGGATGTCTTTCCTTGTTCTTTGGTCTACTAAACGAAGAAAGTCTGGAGAGTGAGAAGGACCCATTGGATTTCTTCACTCAAGACTAATTAATTGGTCCGAGAAGCTTTAGGAGCAGATTGGCCCGAGAAGAACCAAAAGCAATAGAAGGTGTTGCCTTGGCTTATTCTTCAACAGTTGCCTTTTGCCCTCTTCCTAAGCAGTTGCAAAAATGGATCAGTTGTTGGCTGTGAAAATTGGCTGCCTGGCAGGGGTGCTGCTCATCACTCTTCTTTGTGGCCTCATCCCAGCCCAGGTCAAGTGGTTCCATATCAACATGGCCAGAGGTGAGACATTTGTGGGTGTCATGATTTCCACTTAGGTCTGAACTAGCACAATAGAAAATGATGTCATCCTAAAGAAATTGGGATTCATTCCTTGCCTCATTTTTGTTATGAATCCATTCATTTAGACCAGGAGTGCCAAACTCACGGCCTGTGCGCAAAAAAAGTCCCGATACGTCACGTGACACCACCATGACAATGCGAGTTTAACCCCCCTGATTTAGACAGACCCTAATTTGTGATAGGGGTGAATTCTTGATGATTCAGTAACCTTATTTTGCCTCTTGGGTTTTTAATGACAACATTGGCATGTATGGCACTTTATAAATCATAGGATTATAGATTATTACTTTCAGGCAGAGGAGCACAATCTGAAGTTCAATGACTTAATAAGCTTTCCCAAAGCCTTTAATTTAGCTTCCATTACCTTTATGTGAAGATAAGCTATTGAATACTTCAAATGAGTCACATTAAGTATAATTAATTTTAATAGGTTAGGGCAGCCCAGAATTCCCCAGCCATGACATATTGACTGGGAAATTCTGGGACTTGGAAGTCCACAAGTCATTATGTTACAAGCGCTATATTGAAGACATATAGAGTAGATACAAATCCAGATTGTATTCAAAAATGTCTTTAGGAGTCTACGCACAAGAAGAGTTTTATAGAAAAGAATCAGCAGTTAACCTATTCATAATTGTAAGAACAAGAGGATGGAGAATATAAAATGAAATCAAAAGGTCAATTGACTGTTTGTTTATGTTTGTATGGCCATCACTTAATGATGACGGGGTGGATTACAAAAATAAAAACTCAATATGCAAACAATAAAAAACAGTAATCACCCACTTGTCCTGGTAACAACAATCAAACAAACAAGCCATTTGATGGGCTCCATCCCTTTCTGGGTTTTCCAGACTCATTGGCAAAACCAAGTCTTCTGAGCCTTGCAAAACAGTGTCAAAGTGCCAAATTACCACAGGGATGGTCTTCCAAATGGGGAGAATGGTGCGGTGGCCTAGAGTGGAGCTCTTGCCTCACACAACCAGGAAGAAGCTGTGAGTTCGATCCTAGGTAGAGGCAGATATCTGGGCACACTGAGAATATATCTGCTGAATATAACTGCATTGGCGAGAGGAAGGGCATCCGGCCATTAAAACATACTGCTAGCTGCATTCAGTTTCCTAGACTCTACTCCACAAGGGATTATGAGATCATTAAATGAAGATGATAAGGAAAAGGCCCTTTGGTGTTCTCCTTAGGAGTGGAGATTTGCAACATCCCTGTTCTCCCACCCCCACCCCCCACCGCATTCAGTTTTCAACATATTTCATATCTACAGTTAAAGAGAAAGTTTTGAAACATAATGATATTTGGAAGGCAAACAGCATAAGACAGAATTTGAAACTACAAATTTTATACATGTACAAATGATGAACATGTAATTTCTAAAACGTGTAAACTTTTTTTGAAACATGAAATGGGAGAACAAGTGAAAGACTTATCTTAAGAATGGGCTAAGAACTTTGGACATAATATGATGAGAGAGCAATGGTAAAATATGTGGCCAAAAGGCTGAAATTAACATTTTATAATTCAAAAGAGAACTTTTATAAAATGGTATGCCATTGCTGTATGACTCCAGAAAAATTATCTGGAATGTACAAAAGTACTTCAAGTCTATGTTGAAAATTTGGAATAAATGAAGGGTCATTGCGTCCTATCTGGTGGACTTGCAAAAAAAAACAACCCAGAGAACTTTGAGTTTAAATGCATACAGATGATACAAAGAAGTTTAAATGTTGATATTCAATTAAAACTGCATCTTGTTGAGACTAATGCATAGACCCAAAAGAGTTCTGTAAGATTATTTTTATATATGGTAACTGCTGTGAGGTTATTATATAGACAAAAATGGAAAAAGACTGAAATACCCCCAAAGGAAAAATGGCTAGTGGAAGTGACGGAATTAGCAAAGATGGCAAAATTGACTTGCTTGATTAGAGAAAGGACAATGATCACATTTATTAGTCACTGGAAATCCCAAAGGGACTTTTTGTTGAAAGAGAGAGAGAGAAAAAAATGTGATTTAATGACTAGAAAGAAGAGCAGATTATGAAAAGTAGGGAATTATAAGAGTGGGGAGGGAGGGAGGAGAGAGAGAGAGAGAGAATGTAAATATAACTGCTGTTAAGGAAATCAGAAGTTGCTTCTTTATTTTTCCTCTCCCTTCCCCTGTTCCTCCCTCTCTCTTTCTCCTTCCAGCTCTCCTCCCTCTCTCCTCTTTATTAAATGTGGGTACTATCCATAATAAATACGAGATTCTTTTTTTTCACTTCTATGTCTTTCTTTGCATTTTTTCCTTACTACCTTTCTTGCCTTAATTTTACATTTCAAAATGTGTATGGTTTATGCCTTTAACAATATTTAATAATTATATATAAAATTGTCATTCATTTTAATCCTGTTGAAATGTACATTAAACCCCTTTTCATTTTTTTTCCTCTTGGCCCTTCCCATTTCTTTGTCTTATTCCTACCTACTCTTTGGAATGAGTAATGTAGCTTCACTACTACATTGTTTTTTTTTTTAAAAAAAACCCAGCAGCCAAGTATCTCTCTAGGTCAGAAAGAAATTCTTCATCAGCTAAAGTTTGGCACAGAAACTAACAGCGAAACAAGAGGATGGAAGTGGAAGAAGGCATAGATAGATGAATATGTATGAGTTAAAGTAACTAGAAGTTTCAGGTTTGCACAATCCCAAGCGTAAAAACTTGGATGCAGAACAATAGGATGATGTAAATGCAGTCAGAATCAACACTCAAACATTATACATGGTGTAACCTTATTTAACCTTATGGAAGTCCAGATGTATTGATCCAAATGCAGGACAGGTAGTCCTCATCTTATGACAAAATGGAGCCTAACGTTTCTGTTGCTAAACAAATTGAGTTTTGCTCCTGTTATGACCTTTCTTGCCTCAATTGTTAAATGAATCACCACAGTTGATAAGATACTAGCACAGTTGTTAAGTGAATCTGGCTTCCTCACTGACTTTGTTTGTCAGAAGGTTGCAAAAGGGGACCATGTAACCCCAGGAACCGCAGATATCATAAATAATGCCCAGTGTCCTGGTTTTGGTCATGTGACCATGGGGGATGCTGTGACAGTTGTAAGTTGAAAAATGGCCATATGTCACATTTTTCAGTGCAGTCGTAACTTTGAATGGTTGCTAAACGAATAGCTGCAAGTAAGGGACTACCTATATAGTGTGAACAGGTTATTGATTAGATTTTAAATAAATAGCTTTGAGCATTTCTTCTTCATTGGGTGTTGAAGTTGGGGTGATAAGCTTAATTACATGCTAACCATTTTATAGCCAGCAATTTTGCAAGCCAGGCAGCCAGGAATCTTTTGTTTCTCTTTTCAGAATTTAAAAAAAAGTAGTAAAATCTCATTAAGCTAGAATGAGGAAACATTCTGCTTTTCTTACCTTTGTCCTCCTGATAAAAATCTGATTCTACATAGATATATGTGACCTGAAATGAAGGAATTTTTATGGGATGTTCACAGCAAAACTTTTAGTTCTCTAGAAGAACAAATAGTGGAGAAAATAATTCATCTTCCATATTTAAAATTAGGGAGAAAGGTCCTCAGTCTTGAACGGGCTTGCAAAAATTAGTGCAAAAAAATAAAATAAAATAAAAACGGTTGAGCCTTGTCCGCTCATATCATGTAAAATGACGAGATGTTATTGTATTAATTCCTTGTTGAAATCTTCCTACGGTTTCATTCAAGGTTGGTGGAACAGGGTAGGCACAATATCTCAAGACTCCCTACAATTATCACTTAGTGTAGGCTGTGTTGCTTATCTTGTCACTAGGCAGTCTCACCTTGTAAGGTAAGTTTGAAGAATTGGATGCCATCCATAAACACCTGTTCGCGACTAGACAATCATTGGAGAATAGTCTCAGATACATTGAAAGAAGCAAATTATACAGAAGTACCTGCTCAGAGGAAATTTTGTTTTTTAATAATAAGTTTTTATTTTTTAGATTCAAAAGTATAAACATTTCATTTTTTCTTAAGCAGTGTGCCGTCTGAGCACCAACATCTCTGTGCCACATCCTTCACCATTTATAACACCATTCACATTAATATTTCTCTAAGCTTAAAGTTAAGATACATCAAACAGCTAAACATACAGCTCTTCTGGTGGTAATATCTTATTAGCATTACATCTCATTGTTCATATATATGTGTGTGTGTATATGTATGTATGTATATGT